TGGCACTCTGATGTAATACACTGGTTGTATTCATTTACATTGCACAACATTGTGGATACATTACTGTATTGAAATCAAACATTACATCCATCTGATTCCCAAGCAATAGAAACCACTCCAACTGAGGCACCTGCTGCAGATGTTTCAGTTCAGCAAGCTCCACCACTTGACCCAGCTGACTGGCCCTCTGACTTATCAGGTGCAATTATAACTGATTTAGTAAACAGAGGATTTGACAGCATCTACAACTGTGTAAAAGAATCTCACTTCTACCTTCTTTAATGCATCCATGAATGGCTCATCGTGAGCTTCATAGGTAAAGTGTTTTTTTTGTGCTCCTCAGCCTTTTCTGTTTTAGACACATCTCTCATGGATGTTTAGGTAAGATGGTGCATTTTCCCAGTCATTTAATCCTCTTCTGATTAAATTGTACTCTTTAACAGAAAACAATTTACAGCAAAAGCAGAAGAGTGCATTGCTTTTAGGTGAACAGCTTAGCCAGCTTCTTCTAATTTGCTCACCATTCACCAAGGTCCTGTAAAAGTAGTGGTGGTGCCATCTTCTCTTTTGGGAAATGTAAAGTCAGATTCTGGTTACTGTTTTTTAATTACTGTTGTCATTTTGCATTATTGACACACTATTTTCCTAATTAATGCTGTACAGTTGCTTTGACACAATCTGGAATTGTTAAAAGCGCTATATATAAATAAAGGTGACTTAACTGTTTGTTCATTTAGGCCAGAGGAGGACTGGTCTTTCTCAAGGTTTCCACTACTATCACCTGAGTTTGTGCTCCTAGCCATTGTGTCTTTTGGCCTCTTCAGTTGGGGTTTAAAAAACAAGTAATATTCTGAAATTATCAATGAGGCTGCACTGACACCGTCAGATAAGAACAAAAGCTTCAACTGAATTGAGCTGGACAATGACACTATTTTCTTATGAATTGAGTTTAATAATTAATGAACTTTTCCATTAACATCAGCTGAGCTAATAATAATGACACGTATAATGATGACATTTAATTTTGACAGTGTTGAATGTAAAAATCTGCAAAGTTTCAAAGATGAATTTCATATTCACAAAGGTGTGTCTGGGAACAAACCAAAGTTTTGAGAACTGGACTATAACAAAGCAGATGGTCAGGTGTGGTCACAGCAGTTCATATGTATAAGACACAAATAAAATAAAATAAAATGTCAGACTCATAAAGAGGTGAAAAATGCAATTGGTCATGAAGGTGGACAATCAGATTTGGGCCACATTGATCTGCAGTGTGAACGTAGCTTTAATTTTACACAAATACATATTTTCTGGTGCCATTTTAAACTGCAGAGCCATTTAAAACACTTTCCACACAAATGTGGTTTCACATCTGCATGACTTTTCAGGTGTATATGCAAGTGTGATGGCAAAAGAAATGTTTTCTTACACTGATCGCAATTAAACTGACTTCCTCCGGAGCGATCGTGCTCATGATTTTTCAAACTGCTCCTTTTTCTAAGCCTCTTTCTACTCGCAGAGCACTGCCGTTTCTTTCCAGAATGTGTTTGCAAATGACGTTTCAGGTCTCTTTTATATGTGAAGCTCTTCTTACACTGAAGACACGTGAACGGTTTCTCTCCAGTGTGAAGCCTCGTGTGAATCTGAAGGGTTACTTTCTGACTGAAACTCTTTCCACAGTGAGTGCAGGTGAAGGGTTTCTCTCCAGTGTGGGTTCTCATGTGAACCATAAATTTTCCTTTAAATCTGAAACTCTTTCCACAGTCATGGCACTTGAAAGACTCTCGAATGAATTTTTTCATGCCAGCCAAGGCGTCTCTTGTGTCTGGGAATCTCTGTCCACACT